ATTTGTATAGAAAATCATGGGCCCTCAAGAAGACCACTTCACTTTCGAGTTTTCTTTATTTATTACTTTTCACTAGAAGTATTTTTGATAGTTTCTAGATAGTTCTAAATAAATCCAGTAAATAGTATGGAAAGGACAATTTGCCAAAAAACATTTATCAATTTTATTACGGTGAGTTCACGTGATTTGCACGAGCACAGTCTGTCCGTTTCATCAGAAAAGCGATCAGGCGATACGTCAATGTCATGTCTCGATTTTTTTCTAATTTATCATTCTACCGTAATCCGTGAGAAAAGAAGAAAATCAAAATCGCTGTATCTGTTCAGTCCCACTTTTTCTTGTCTAACACCATCTCGTGAGTGTTGCTGGTCTTATCAGCTTTATAACTACCACAGCCTCTTTATGTCGTTTCGTCATTTCGCAATGTACTCTTCTATTTTGGGAAATTTCTGTTCAACTGCAATAGCATGGTTTCAATGTTAGATCTCTTAAAATTCATTTAGTAAGTAAGTAAACCGAAATGGTGAGATTGCGCCATGTGTTTTGAACCATTTCCGGAACTTTGAGCTCGTTCTTAGATGTTGGATTCAAGCCTAATCGTCGCCTGGGTAATTACTGTATCTAGTAAGATCAAATGAATGAATCCTGGTTGACTCTATCAAAAGTTGGTTTTTTGTTTATGTGGCTAGGAGGAGCTCCTATATTCCAAGTCTGACCACACCCGGCCTACTATATTGTCCCATCAATGAATTCTAAGAAGAATTAGGGATAGATCAAGAGATAGGCAAGCCACTCATAAAAAAGTTGCCTTACCGTAGCTCCCTCACAGAGGAACAATGATCAAGCAAGCAGCGGGCTAGGAATCAGACGTCAAAGGTAATAAAATGAAGTGTCGGCACTTTTGATCCGCGCTGACCCAATTTTCAACATCCTTTTTCGTGAAAGACGCATAAAGTTTCATTGAAGTCCTTCTCTAAGGACAATCGAGGATGTAAAAGCGTGAAATGATATCTTGTGAAGGTGGATTATGATCGATTAGTGTCTACTTTACTGCTTACTTCAAGCATTGGAAATTATATTCCCAGAACTTCTTTTGCTTTTCGAAGTTTTTTCTTACTACATATTCGAGAATGATGCAGTTTAATTGTCTTTAAGTGTACTGGATAAGTTTCGTAGGCAATCCTATGAAGCTGAGCCTCAGAATCCAATCTGGTGATTATGAAAAAAAAGATAAATCTTTTCATGTTTCACTCCCATAGAAATTTTCGGTAAAGGTAGCTCAAGCTCTCATCTGGCAGGGTTCATTTATAGCTATCCTCCCAAAACTTTTTCGAACCCCATTAATCTCTTCAAATCCTTACACTAGAATCATCTGATGTGTGCCTAAAAACATGGTTTTCATTTACAACCGGAGATCAAAGCTAACTTCAAAGCATCCTTTACTGCCATTCTTTTTTCGGGCCAGAAAAAGTTTTTGGTTAGGTAAGACTCGAAAGTTGGCCGTTTCCATAGCCCAGTTTTGAAAGCAGACATGCCATGAAAACAGTTTAGTCAGAGCCACTTCAAAATGGGAGATGGGTACCTGTCTGTACACCGGTTTCTTCAGGCCGACCGAAAATTATTTTTGGTAGAAATGCCGTTACAATTGGTTGTTAGTTGGGTAGTGTTTCCACGCTCTGGAAAATCGCTTGCCGTTTTTGTCAGCACTATTGTCAGTTCGCGGTAGACTGCGCAAATCTTCGTTAATGTGCATGCCGTTCAGTGAACTTATTACCGCCTTCTGAGATGAACCACCTGCAACCGATAGAGCGGCGCCTTTGGCCTGGCAATCGAAAAAACACCATGGTTCGTGTCACGCTTCATCGCTTCACCCGAATGGGGTACGGTAACGTACAGGTGGAGGAACGTCTGAATTGTAACGTTTTGAGAGCTTCTTCATAGGGTATGAGTGAAAGGTTGGGAGTAAAAATTGTAGGCAGAGAAAGAGCACTGAGCTCTCGGCCAGACCAGCATTTGCTCCGGAAATTTCCAGACTAGATGATCTCATTTTTATTTTCATTTACATTCGACCCAAGTTCAAAATCAGCAAAATGGTTTCAATGAGCTGAATCTGAGGGACGGCCAGCCTCCGTAACGATCTGTTAATTTTCGGAGCAAATATTGGGTGTGAGCGTTTCGATCCCATCATTCCAGGCTTTCAATTTCCTTCCTCCAGTTCTTTCAGGCTTCAACTGCATCCAAGAGATGTGTTACTGCAACTCCATCACTGACAGCAGTTATCGGTCATACTGGTCATTTTTTCATTACATCTATTCTCCTCTTCATGTTCTCTGTGAACTTTCCCTCAGTCTATCGTTCACTAAATCATCACCACATTGTCAGGCCCTATCTCCAGATGGCACAAATCAATACGAAACTTGTGGTTTTGAGCGAAAAACAAATACTAGCGAAGGAGTTTTTGTTATCGTTCTATGATAACAGAAGCTCTTAGAGTTTTCTTTCTGCCGACGTGACTTCTTCCTGATCACAACAGTCCTCACTTTTAGAGTTAATTCTATACTGCTGCCTTCTAGAGTGTTCCCATATTCCCTAAACTTTGATTCTCGAACTGATCTTCTGAGGTCTTCTACTTATTAGGAATGTTAAAAAATAAGCATCCAAGTGTTTACAAAACTTGTGAATGTGCAATTATTATTATGCTTAAGATTTTTGTTCTGATAAACAAAAGATAGTTTCGATGTGAATGATTAAGAAAGAGCTAGTGACACCTATGATAAACTCATAAAAAAATTGAGGTTTTCTGGTTAGGGGAACTGAGAGATTTTTAAGAGCTGAGAAGAACGAGTGTTGGACATCGAATCAATGTATTGTTGTACAATTTCATCCACTTCTTCATTTTTTCTGTATGAAGGAAGAAAGCATGGCGTATCCGTCCGAACCGTGTATAGTCTAGAATAATTACGGTGAGAGGTCGGACTTAAAATTTTGAAAACTTCATGCTTCTTTCTTAGCACAAAATAAAATTGGCATCATTTTTATTCATATGAACTCTTAGATGTGAGCAATAAATTTGATAATATTTCAAATGCGACCTCTCAGACCTCATAAATTCCATGTGGTGAACTTTGGTCATAGTTTTTTCTGATGCTGATCGTAAGTCATTGCTCACCTACGCGCACATATGTGATCCGTTTCCGGCTTGGCTCGATGTAAACCCTCAGTTCAACCCGAAACTACCTACAGCTTAGGTTTTGTTCCTGTTGGCTGTGACCACTTACTTCCCCTTTACCAGTTTCCCTATCTTTCTGGTTTGTCCTTTGATAGCCCTTTCAAGTGAATCCAACTTGTTGTTGCTGCCCAATCGGTTGCTCTCAGTGGATTCACGTGCCCTTTAACTGTTTCATATGTAAATGTGAGTAAGAAAACGAGCAATTTGTAAGACTTTTCGTATCCTCCTTCTGTAAAAACTAATAAATATACCTTGCCTTCATACTTGTAGTCATCTAAAAATTAAGTTGAACTGGTGACGCCATTTCAATGGCGCCGGGAGTGTCCTACCTGCCAATAATGATTTTCATTTTACAGTTTTGATTTGTCCTTCAGCATTAGCTCATTACCCTTAACTTTTTGCTTTCTTTCATGTCATTCTCTTTCAAAATAGCAAAACGGCTGTAATAATTCTTCGATTCCGCATCTTCTCCTCTAGTAAATCACACAAATGTGCTCGACCATCTGCTATCTTGTCGACGTTCAAAAAAGAAGGCAAGGTGACATTCCATCACACTGACAAGTTAGTAATCGTGGATAGAACAATTAGTGACGTCTGAATCTTTCCAAAAATCTTGAAAAAATTCTCTATAGTCATTCATTTCTACTTTTTAGCTGCAGTAAAAAGGTTTGATATTAAATTAGGTAAGCGTGATTTGATTTGCATAAATATCGCAGTATCGCATGTTAGGAGCGATAGCAAGTTGAGTACTAGTTGTAAGTTATATTTGTTTGGACATAATTCAATAAAATAAGAAAATCTGATATAACAATAATATTCAAAAGACTGTAGACAAGCCTTCGATAGATTTGCCAAGCTTTGCAAACTAGAAACTTCCGATACTTGAAAGAAAATCGTTTGAATTCGATACATTAGAGTTTTCATCTACGAGGCTATATCTTGCAAATACCTGTGAATATGGGCATTTCTTGAATGCTCATCCTACCCTATGCTTTAGCTACTCGATTTGTAAGCAAAATGGCCAATTTTTAATTGATATGCGGATTGATTTGTCCAAGTACTCATCTTCAGTAGGAGATGAAAGAAAGTGGATGTCATCTCCAAAACTTCCCCTGGATTTATTGTTACCAAAGGGTTGTTTCTTCTTTGAGATTTATTCCTTCGTTCTGTCGGTTTTTTTTTCAACTCTTGCATCTCTTCCTTGGCTTGTCTCTGCGACTTTCTTCCGAGAATTCTCTACTTTAACTCTGTATTAGCTTTCTGTGATGTGTGCAGTGCTAATGAATCTTCTTTTATATTTGGTTCGCACTGGCAGCAATCTACAGTAATTGAGGTCCTATGAAGGGGATAAAAGGTCAAACTCGGACTCTTCTTCCCGAAACCGTTTTACGTGGAATGGCAATAGTGAATGGAACAGGTTGAAAACTCGGGCCCGTTGCTCCGGATGAAATGACTTGAGGGAGAAAGAAAAGAAAAATTTTCTCCCAAAGTCCTTGGCCGTTTCTGCTTTTGATGTACCGTTTCTGCTAAATGTCGATAGTTCACCACCTGATCCAGTCATTCTTTCACGGATCATTTTAGATTATCCTAATTGTCAAAAAATGGCTCTCTACGATGTGTGATGAAGCTGACCCTTTTATTTTATATTGCGGGCATGTTACATTTCGGTAATGGTGAGTGTGTCGGAACATTCGAACTGCTCTGTTTAATTTTTATTACCATAACTATTTAGCCACAAAGTATTTCCTTTGAATGACAACACGACCCACATCAGTTAATTACTTTTGAAAGCTGTAACTTTTTAGCTGCGACACATGCTTGTGGCCTTGATGGATGTTCGCAGTGGTTTCTGAAGGTGAAACATTACGACACCCTAACTCCTGGCAATAATGAGCCATACTGTCAGGTGAGAATTCTTCACTTAGCTCCTTTAGCTCCAATGTCTACAATTATGCCAACTCGCAACTTTGATTGGGAGAGTTAAAGCCTTGGAATCTGACGTCCATGGTCAAAAATAGGGCTTCGTTTAAGCCCATCTGCAACTGAGCAATACATGTTTCTTTAAGTGGCTGTTTTGTACCGAAATTACTACTGGAAAGTTCTAAAAAACTGCCAGAACAGGCCTTTTCAACAGCTCTAGATTTTTGAAACAATCCTTCATTTAAGGTTTTCTACTCAGAAAAAATTATTTTTCCTAGGCATTGGTCACTTATCTGAGGTGTCTAAATGAGACGACTCTTGCATGCCGCGGCAACCTCCAGTTCTACACAAACCTTTTCGCAATGCGAAAACAATTTCGAGAGTTCGGCTGTGCTTCATACAAGCAAAGAGAAGAGCAAAACAGGTCAGTGTTGATTACGTGTCCTCCTGGTACTAGAAGCATACTAGTTCTTCTAGTACAAATAGTTCTTATTCACATACTTCTTAATCTGTCAGTTGCACCAACGCCAATCTCGGCATCCCAGCTAGGGCCGTAAAATACAGGAAAACAAAAAAAAACATGCCTCAAGTAAGAGTCTAGAGCTGATAAGTCAGACTGGTGAAGGCATTCCAAGCCACACCAGCAGCGAGCACTATCCGTGTATAGTACCGGAGATAGTAATGCATAGGTACTTACCTGTCTAGGCGGACCTAAAGTCTGTGGGATTCACCCCGCTTTGAACATTAGTGATGCTCACAACGTTTCTGAGAAATTACTACTCAGCTGGAGTTTGTGCAAAAATCATACATATGCTTACCATTTTTTTGTGAATTTAAGTCAATGCTTGGATATTTTTACGATATCTTCAGCAAATAAGGGTGGAGGAGGTGGTGTAGTGGCAAGTGGCGCACTATCTCACACGCACGACCAGGGGTTAGAATCCCGGATCGATGCCCGCCCAGGCCAACCAAGCCTTCCATGTCTCCGGGGTCGGTGAAAAGCCCTGACTTGTACATCGGCTGGCCACTGCAAGTCATTGTATAGGCCACATACGCACTCATTACGCCACTACGGTTCTGAATGGGAGTCGGGTGCGGGGGCGCATCCCTCAGACGGGATTGATTAATGCCAAAATCTTTATCCTTTATCTTCAGCAAATAATACCTAGCATATTAGGTGCAACTTCTTACCGAGAGTACCACAAGGAAGGATGAGAATTTGCACATTATTTGGTGATCCACACCTCATACGATTTGACGGTACAATGCAGTCATGTACAGAAGAAGGAGCTCGTTCGCTCATGGATAATCGGTGGGGAAATTATCCTTTTCTTCCTTTCCTCGTAGAGGAGCCTTTAGTGGTGACAACCAAAATGCCAAATTCATGCCGTCAGTCAAAATTTCTCTTTGCTGCGAAAACGAGGTTATTTAGACATTTCCTGATTCAAGTTACAAATTCGAACGTTCGAAATCAAGCCCATACAACGTCTGTGAACAAAGTGAGTATACTTCTCAATACTGCCAACCAATTAGTAAATAACCAGTCTTAGTTCAATGATGGACACCTTTTAGATCACACTTTTGATTCGTAATCACAACTGTACCCCTTCATTGCGTTATGAAGCCGCTTCGGATGAAGAAACGCTACCCATATCATTTGTCGACGGAGTCCGAGGCCATGAAACAGATGATCATCGGAAAACCGTCGAGGTTCGCCAGCCTTTCATCAGTTCATCACTTGATTTTACCACTAAGTAGTAAATTACCAGATTATTCGACATGACGACCATGTGGAAATCGCTATGCATCACATTCAATCCAGTGTTCATATCCGACGACGTGGGCCGTATTTGAGCGTTTCTGTGGTGGTTCCCATAAACCTACAGGTACCCAAAAGTCGGTGAGTGTAAGGAGAACAACTTCATTTCCAAGTTTTAGGGCACATGGACGTCAGCTGAGTCACTCTGCACTACTGGTTGTCGAAATCGATCCATTATTGAGATCGATAAAGTATTGGCTGCTTCAAACAGATATGCCAAATGCTATGCTCGAAAGCTGCACGTACCTATAAAGCTTGCAACAGGTAAGTAGGATGAGCCTAACCCAAAATTAGGCCCCATTTAAGTAATTTTTCTTCTACCCAGAACGATGCAAGACTGTGAACGCGACTGATCACTTTTTTGACGCATGTGTCTTCGATCTCATGCTAACAGGTAATGAATGATTTCATAATCGCTTGAATATCGGAACTTTTTGCATTTTTCAAGGTTACCTAGCTGTAGGTGAAAGGCCTCGGTCTAGGGCGGGACTCGAACCCGTGGTTGTTCTTTACGGATCGGTGCTCCAGGATACCCTTGAAGGATACTGTTGGTTTGGTTAAAAAGGAAGATTTTGCCCTGGAGAAGTAGCTGGAAAAGAGTAGGACCAACGGAAAATAAAAAGATTGGGTCGACGTCTGACCACCCTATTTAGGCGACTCTAATTTTGAAATGTACTGGGAGTAATTCCTTCCGCGGTGTTTTCACGGGTGTGGGCAGAACTGTAGCTTGTCTAGTGAAACTTTTTCAGTGCTACTTATAAACCATCTCTAAATTTTGTAGGCGATGAATACCTGGTAGCAATGGCACGTGATGTACAGTCGGATCAGCGGGCTCTATTGCCCGATCTGTGGCATCCATCAGGGCGTCAAAACATTTCCGTATATAATCATCTCGTGAATTCGACATTTTCTAACTGTTTACCTTCTTCCTCAAACATTCGCAGTTGGTATCTTGCGAGTTTCATTCTCCTGGTGGCATTTTTATTGTTCTGGGATCAGCACTGACAACTGAATCAGAGTGGTGCTCCATATGGGATTTCAAGTAACACCAAAAGGTAAGAAATCTTCGTACGATTGTTGAACTTATCGGCCGGCAATCTATCTATCTACCAGATTATTCGACATGACGATCATGTTATGTCTTCCATGAATTTTTTTTCTAATTTCTCAAGTTGTTTGTGCCCTAATGCCTTTTCCTGAAGAACATTCTTTCTCTTTTTCCATCAGAGTGTATGGTCCAGAAAAATCGTTCCCCCTCATGGTCTCCGGCAGTACACCCGACTTTCTTCAATACCCCCATTCCAGATCAGATCTGATCATTCTAGTCGTATATCCTTATTGCTGGCTGTTCATTTGGGGAAAAACTCCCTATAGTAGTGTAACGTATGTGGCCTGTGGAATGATCTTCTTTGGCCAGCTAATGTTGTGCTTTTATGTAGTGATCAAGGATTTGGTTCCCGGACTGTATGCCTGATAGTGCACCAGTTGGCATCCAATCACTTAGTACAACTCATTATCAATGCTTATCACTTATTATCATCAATTATCACTTTGTTAAATCTTTAGCGTTCGCACTACAGCATGTTGGTCCCTAGCTTCTTCAGTAATTTCTATGTAGCGCTCTGCCACATTTTTTATTTATAAAAAATTTCGAGTATTCATGGAAGGAAAAATTACAGATTCGCATCGTACGCTGGCTGTGCAATGGTCATCTGATATTCCTCAGAGTAGTCTATATAACGATTATATAACGTACATTTCATTGTGTTCTGGAGATATCATTGGTACTAATAATCTTGTTCAATAATGATTATTACTTATTATTATCGAAGAGCTCACATTGTTAATGGAAAGCCTCTATCGTACAATTTCTTGCTTGTCATTTTGTTGTAATATCTCCCTCATCAATTATTCATCGACAAAGACTGAGTTTTTTACAAAAACCTCTACTGTCTGAAATTTTTTTGTCGAGCTGTTCACATCGTCAGATCTCTAGGATAACGGGTTGTATGTAAGTATCGTATTAAATGTTCCACTAGTATACCTGTTGTATTGCCAATAAAAAATCTATCTGTTTGGTTAACATCTTACCTGGCAAGGATTCTTCCAATACTATTATCCTGCCGTTTTGCCAGCAGCCCTGTACATACTGAACCATTTGAGTGACGTGGTCCTTACTATTCAACCAGAGTTAAGACTTCTATGTAATATCAGACAAAAGTGTCATGTTAATGATTCTTAGCCTCGCTACACGGAATCGGGAAGCAAAGTGGATCAAGGACGACATCGGTAAGTTCTGCAACTCAAGAGGTCTGTGGGCCAGATATTTTGTTATCCGAGGATTTTCGTCGAATTCGATCTGGTAACGAAGATATGAACTAAAAGCGAGAAGCGGTCGTCCCCATGAGTTGGCCCATAAGTTCTAGAAGCCGTCAAAAAGAGTCCATTCTTGGCTGCTCCCATTCTTTCAGATGATTTTATCTGCAACCAAAGACAAAGCGCTGACATTTTGGTTAATCTTGAGCTGTTGTTTCTTGTTTGTTTCTGCTAGTAAACATATACGTGAAATGAAAACACCGGATAATTTTTGCTCAAAACAATAAGAGACCGTCAACGTCGCCGGCCAGTTGTTCAGCTCTTGACGCATTAGGCTCTTCGGACGCAACTCGAAGAATCAACCGTAGCGAAAGTAAACTGGTGGTGGCCATTTTGTATATACGATTGATACACACATTAATACATATTTATAAGTGCGCCATAAGAGAACCAGTTAAGTTCAGTGAATAATAAGATTTTCTTCAGTTTTCAGGAATGTTTTCACTTGTATAGCCATTCAAAATTCAAATTGGATGTCCTTCTCCGCTTTCTCCCCTTCATTCACTTTCTCCGTAGATCCCTTTTGTGCCATGACCGGCATTTCTGCAGTCTTTACCGTATCCATATCGCTATCCATAGTGGGTTTAACATCGATAGTACCATCATATTTACCCGGAGGTATTGGTTTCATCGTCGTGGCCGAGCCTTCAACATTTTCATCTGGTAAAATCTTAAGTGATCTAGGGTCTTCCTGTTTATTATCTTCTCCAGGTTTTGCTGGCTGATTTCTCGCTTCTTCAGGATGTTCGGCAGTTGCCATTGGTGAAGTCATTGGTGAAGGAAAACCTTCATCAGGTGCAGGTGTCTTATTTTGTGATTCACTTCGTTCATCACCAGGTGCAGGAGTTGCGGCGGCGGGAGTAATTGCAGGGGATGTGCTACCGTAAAGTGTATCGGTTTGCATTCTGAAGAACTCTTCCAAGTCTCTCTGGGCCTATAAAAGGACACAGTCACCGAGAATCTTTCAACTGGTAAATGGTTTTGTCTTAGGCGAAAAAAAATAGTTTGGATCACATGGCTCGCTAGAGAGCAGCAACGACTAACAAATCTAAAAAGCACAGATCGCGATGGTATCGAATCAACGGATTCATACTGATGAGGAATTTCGGTTTCTGTAGGCAAAAACGGCTAAGGAGCGGGAAAATTGGCAGATTTTGAGAAATACAAGGCTTCAAATAATAGTAAGAAGGTAAGAGGGCGAGGGTTATGATTACGGGATTACGTGTCTGGGTGTCTCTCACGTTAGCGTACTATCCGTCAGCGTTCTACTGCTTCACTGTAAATGGTGCAGCCTTAGCAGGGCCGCTATAACGCCATACCGGCTTTTTTGAGTGTGTACGTCAGCCAAGCCGGCTTGGAGCCTATATAACGCTCTGCCGAGGTTTTTTTTCTATCCAACCATATCCCAAATGTCCCACATCCCAACCCTCTCATGACATGGTTTGTACAACCATTCTGGGTTACGAGTTGTTTCGTTATACCTCTGAATGTATCTCTGTAAGCTGACCTGTGATTTGGCTTCTTCTTGACGTCTGCGTTGCTCCCGTTTTCGTTTTTTTCTCTCTTTTCTTTCCTGTACATATGAGAATCATTAAACATGCTTTCTCAGTTCACATTTTATGACCACCTTTTTCTTTTTTGCCCTACGTTTTCTTCGTTTTCTCCTTTCTTTTTCCATTTCTGCTGCCAACTTCACCTTTTCTTTGTGATTTCTTCGTTGAAGGTATAAAGCCGCGATCGTAACTAGTATCGATCCTACCACAAAAACCACAGCTATTGTAACAATTATTACTGGGAACCAATCATATTCTTCTTTATCTTCCGCTTCCCTGTGGAATATTATAGTTAATGAAAGTTAGCCATTTCGTTTTTTAATTACATAGACTCTTCAGAAAGCAAGGATGTGTTCCAATATGTGTACAATATTGTTTATAAAGGTCCTCTGTAGTACCCAATATTTTTTGTTCCTTTCTCTGTACAAGTTTTACTCCTCCGCGTCGAGACTTTATCCCTCAAAGAACACTAATGAAGTGGACCCCTCAATTTTTGGCTATACCTTCACTTGATGATGCTCTCCTGTGAGCAAATTATCTTACAATCACCACCGCTCTTGAAGAAAAATCTCGACTTCGCGGGCTAAAATGGAGACAGAAAACCGAAAAGCACGCATTTCGAAAAAAAAATTCTCGCAAAATCATTTGCTTCTGCAATTAATAACTAAAGTCCATACAGAGTCGAACCTGAACTAGACCCAATCACCTATGAGTGGGTCTGAGGTAATTATTGCAGCCGTGCATTTTTCTGTTCTCTCTCATCTAACTATTACCATCACCAAAACAGTAAAGGATACGTCGCAAGCAGACATGTCATGAAAGTGTACTGCCAACAGAAACCGAAAAAGGAGAAGTCCGGGACAGGTGCTGGCCGAAGCACTGGCAAAGCTGGGTCGATTCGATTACCCTCAATAGTTGGAGGGCAAGTGGAGCAAATATGCAGAAGGTATTACCAGTTGAAAGGATGGGATTTCGCAAAACATTCGCTCCACTGACAATTAGTGGTACGGCAAAGTAAACGCGATATTTCTCCCTAGCGAGACCCTTACTCCCTTCCGTCGACTTTCTCTGTACACTCTTAGTGAGACATTTGTGCGAGGAGATGAGCTGCACAAAATACGACTCCTATGGTCAATAAGTTTGTGACAGAACTCCGTGCCCTTGGTGGGACGCCGAGTCTTCGGTGGCTTCGAATCGCCCGTTTCTGCGCCTGGAAAGCTTCGGGTTCACACCCAGGAATCAGCCAAGGTGTTCCGGCATCTAATGAAGTGGGGCTTCGTGAAATTAGATGGTTAGGTGCGAGTTCGTGATGGCGGAAAAGGTGAGGGAAGTGTGAAAGGTGTAAAACCGAAGGAAAACTCGTTGTTCGACTGAAAGAGCTGGTGAGCAGAGAACTGTTTGTACAATAAAAATTCAACGAGTCAAGCAGTATGAAAAACAAATCGCTGTTCGCAACTCATATGCGTGCTTCAAGGGTTTCTCTGCAGGGAGGTAGCAATCGAGTCACAAATTTGGAAGGAGCCCAACTGCAACTTGAATTCACTTCGTTCCAGTTCATAGATCCGTTGTAGATCACATCGGTCTGTTCTCTATTCGCTCCATCTCCGGCCGTACATTTCTCTGCCCTTCTCATCTAGAGATTACCATTAAGAAGAACCAGCACGTGCTACGTAACAGACAGAACAGATGTGACGACCAGTGAGTTCGCCCTCAAGACAAAGTCGCCCATCGGCAAAGTTTGGTAGCAAGTTAGCAAGATAGATAGGACCTGTACAACATCGGAGGGTTGGAGGTGGTCAAATGTTGTAAGCACGACGTTGGAGCAAATGCTTGAACTTTTCGGTTTTGAAAGGAAGCTTAGCTTCTTCTCTTTTGCACTGTTCCAAGATCAGAGATAAGAAGCATCAGCAGTCAGGCTCAAGATTCATTTCATTCTTCGACATAATTGCTTTTCACCCATCGGTACCAGAGAGCACCTTCTGCTCCTCGAACTATCCGCTCTCAATTTACCTTTGCCTGCTCTCTCTGGATCAGTGATTTTTCAAGTACAACCAGGACGATTTACGCTGCTGGAGGTCCGA